CTGAAGTCACACCCTCTCTTAGGGCTGAGGCTGCGGATTGAGTGCGGCGGTGGCAACCAATCGGAGCCGCTCTTGCTGCAGAGTGGCGGCTGCCCGGCCGTCGCCTAGGAGTGAGTAGTGTTGCATGCGGGTCGGGGTTATATCGCTGCCTGTCGCGTACCGCGTGGAACTTCTGAGCCATCCGCAGACGGACTGGTGCCCAAGCGGGTCCGACAGGCTCTCCAGGCGCAGCATGGGCGTCCTTGAGGCGGCGGCCCGGGCGCTGATCCGCGGTGCGGACAGGATGAGCAAGTGGACTAGCAAACGCGGGCCGCGCACCTTCCGTAAGGGCCGGGGCGCCAAGGGCACTGGCGTCTTCGCCGCGGGCCGGAAGTTTGTGCTGATAAAGGAAATGGTCCCCGAGTTCGTCGTCCCGGACCTGGCTGGCTTCAAACTCAAACCTTACGTGAGCTACCGCGCTCCCGCTGGCGTCGACACGCCGCTCACAGCTCGGGAGCTCTTCGAGGCTGCGGCCGCGCCCGCCATCGAGAAGGACGTCAAGGACGGCACCTTCGACCCCAACAGCCTGGAGAAGTACGGCTTTGAGCCCACGCAGGACGGCAAGCTCTTCCAGCTGTACCCCAGGAACTTTCTGCGCTAGACGGCGGGCGAAACGGACTGCGCACCCGAGTGGGAGGGAGCGCCCTGGCCTCAGTTCTATTAAAGGCCTTTGCTGCTCTGCACAGCGTGTGTTCTTGGATCAGGTCTCACGAACTTGTCCACCCGGAAGGCTCAGGGAGGCGGCTGTGAGCACACCAGGTGGTTCACAGGAAGGGAGGGAATTTTCGGGGCAGGTTGTGACTGCGCTGGCTAGTTGGTCCCACAGAGTCTTTTTTTTTTAAGAGACAAAGTCTCACCTTATCGCCCTCAGTAGAGTGCTGTGGCGTTACACAACTTCCAAGTCCTGGGACTACAGGCGCCCGCCACAACGCCTGGCTATTTTTTGTTGCACTTTGGCTGGGGCCGGGTTCGAACCCTTTGTATATAGGGCTGGCGCCCTACCCATTGAGCCAGAGTTGCCGCCCGGTTCCCCAGTCTTAACCCGAGAAACAATGAGCATATTCCCTCTGGGGTTCCAAGGCCACATGTTTGTTTTGATCAGGTGAAGGTAACTGTACTTCTTGGGGCAAACCTAACGTTCAGGCCACACAAAAAGTGCCAAACCAGGGTTTCTCCTATAGACCAGTCTGCGTGTGCCTGTTTCAGCGCATGGTCCCTCACATCTTATGTACTCCATTTAATATTTAGTTGACCCTTAAGTATCAATAACACACATGCTATGGGAGGATTCAACATTTTTCTGCAGAAAATAGCTGGAATATTTTTTTTTTTTTTTGCGACAGAGTCTCCCTCTATTGCCCTGGGTAGAGTGTAGAGGCCTCAGTCTAGCTCACTGTAACCTTGGCTGGACTACAGGTGCCTGCCACTACTGTGCCCTGCTAATTTTTCTGTTTTTAGTAGAGAGCTCTTGCTCTTGCTCAGGCTGGTCTCATATGACCACAAGCTGTCCACCCATCTCAGCTTCTCAGAGTGCTGAGATTATAGGCCTGAGCCACTGCACCAGGCCAATTAGCTGAAAAATTTGTTGTATTGGTCTGACCTACATTGGCATGTTGTGTCCTATCACAAAACAAGAAAGCAAAGGATAGAAGTGCATGTTTTCTGCTTCTAAACACCCATGTTTATTATTTGGGTTTTACAATGGCTTGTACTTCAGCAACACAGCTCCAACCGAAGAGACAAGAATATTCAAAGTGGGAGTCAGATGTCTTACACCTAGTTCGTTGCTGCAGTCACCATCTGTGTAAAATTGGAAGCTAATAGTTCTTTTTTTTAAATAGAGTTTCACTTTGTCACCCTTGGTAGAGTGCTGTGTCATCACAGCTCACAGCAACCTCCAACTCTTGGGCTTAGGCAGTTCTCTTGCCTCAACCTCCCGAGTAGCTGGGACCACAGGTACTCACCATAACACCCCGCTATTTTTTGTTGCAGTTGGCCAGGGGCGAGTTTGAACCTGCCACTACTCACTGAGCCATAGGCACTGCCCTGGAAGCTAATAGTTCTTCTAATGCCACAATTATGATGGAAGTCATTAGTGCCTCACACTGACTTAACATATTTCCAGTTTATGAGGCACTAAGACAGCAGTTCCCAACCTGTGAGTGACCCACAGGAATTCTATTAATAAACAGCCCGTGGCATTAGGAAGTTTGAGAAATACTGCCCTAAGGCAACATTTCTCCCCCTTATCAAAAACACTTGGGCTCAGAAGTGTTGCCAATTTCAAATTCTTTTGGATTTGGGAATCTATGTATATATATAATGAGTTATCTTAGGGATGGGATTGATCCAAATTTAAACATGACATTAAATTATGCTTCATAAACACCTTATACACATAGCCTGAGGATGATTTTATACATTTTTTTTTTGAGACAGAGCCTCAAGCTGCGCCCCCCCCCCGCCCCCAGGTAGAGTGCCCTGGCATCACAGCTCACAGCAACCTCCAATTCCTGGGCTCAAGTGAGTCTCCTGCCTCAGCCTCCCAAGTAGCTGGGACCACAGGCACCCGCCACAATGCCCAGCTATTTTTTGGTTGCAGCCGTCATTGTTTGGCGGGCCCGGGCTGGATTCAAACCCGCCACCTTAGGTTTATGTGGTTTGCACCTTAGCCACTTGAGCCACAGGTGCCGAGTCCAGTATTTTTAATAAATGGAACCTGACTAATTTGGCTGGGGCCAGGTTCGAATCCTTGGTATATGGGGCCGGCGCCCGACCCATTGAGCCAGAGGCGCTGCCCGGTCCACCAGCCCTGGCCCGCCAACCAAAAGGAAATTAGGTGTGGAATTCTCCACTTGTATAGTAGTAATGTCTGCATTCACAAAGTTTCAGATTTTAGAGTATTTCAGATTTGTGGGTAATGAATGCTAAAGCTGTACAAGTGTTTCTGGTGCTCAGATGAGATCTTTTTTTTTTGGGCTGGGGCTGGGTCTAAACCCGCCACCTCCGGCATACAGGCTGGTGCCCTACTCCTTTGAGCCACAGGTGCCGCCCAAGATGAGATCTTTTAAAGTCTTCATTTGAAATTATAATAATTCTCATGTTATAAAGTAACTTTTATTCTTAAATTTCATTTTAATTAATATAAATATAGTAGAACCTTCATAGTTAACCACCTCAAGTGGTCCTAATTTTCATAGACTGGACATGCATCACATGTATGTTATCAATGCAGGAGGCTTAGCTCTTTATGCTGACCACTTCAATATGTCAATCAGTTTGCTGCAGACCCCTTAGGTGGTCAACTTACACAGGGTCTGCTGTAGATGCTTAAACATGTATGAAGGGCTGAAAGTTAAAAGTCTCCCTGAGAAACTAACAAGTTGCAAGCTGGAAACCAAGTTTTTGTCCCACTTACTGCCAGATAGCACCACAGTCACTTGCATAACCTGGCAGAGAAGCCAGGAGCGTTTCTGACTGTCCACTGTCAAGATTCCATAAGGTGCAGTCACAGGTGAGGTTGCAGTAAGAATCTCAAATGACTCAAAAGTCACTCTTGGTTTACTTGTGGGAATGATCTTGAGCTCAGTTCATCTTCCACTTCCAGAGGTGGAGAGCATGATCATAAAAGGAGCAAGTGGCCAATAGGCTTATGTCTGAGTTTATCCCTTCCAGGTACAGGTTGCAGTCACGGGGCTTGGCTTCCTTGGCAAATGGTTCAGTGCCGTTCTTCCTCCTGTCCTCTGTGGGTGGCTTGGTCTCATGCTGGAGTTTGGCAGGGCCCTCCCCATCATCCACTATGCATTCAAGACAGGGTGCTGGCAACTTGCCTGCAACCTTTAGGTCTCCCATTCTGACTCCTGGGTCACTGTGAAGACAGGACCAGGAAGGAACTGGCTGTGAAGAACGGACCAGGAGCCAAGACCAGTCGGCTCCATACACCAGAGAGTTGGGCAACACTTGGGACACCAATACTGTCGCTTCTTGCCTCTCTGGAGCAAGAGAGAACACAGGGAACAACGTTACCTAGAGTTGATTAGCCCCAACCAATGCCCCCACCCTCAAAGGGAGACTCCACCAAGAGCAACCCCTGTGAGTCATGCAGAAACATCAAGACCTGGACAGACAGGTGGAGAACAGACATTTCACCTTACAGTGTGTGCACATGTTCCTCAGAGAGCAAACAACAGGACTGCAGAACCATGAGGGAGGGGAGTTTTTCCAAGTTGGAGAACTCAACAGTAGCTTCTCAGACAGAGATGGATAAACCTCAGGCAGACTTAAAAGCAAAGAACAAAGCCAGCCAAATAGGAGGCCAGGGGGGTGTATGAGAAATAGGACAAGGAGAGAGAAGCCACAGCACAGAGAAGAGCAGCACACAGAACACAGCACTGCCTGCCCCACTTCAGAGCTTGGGTTTTAGCATAGAAGGTCACTGACAGGGTTGCACTGGAGGATGGAGACCAGGATGAAAGAGCCTAGGAGCATGCCAGACAGGGCAAAACAATGAACAGTGTGCAAAGGACATGACCAGGAAGAAATGAGGAAGTATGGCCAAACCTGAGACCAGAGGTAGTCTGGGGTCAGAAGACCAGGCTAGGGCTGGTAAGAACAGTCATGGAGAGCCAGGAGGAGGTAAGCTGGGGGGTGCAGACTGGCTCAGCATGGCCAGGAGACCTGTCATACCACTCTGAAAGGGCTGTCCCTCACTACCCCTCACAGGGATTACTGCCAGTGATCTAAGTTGAAACCTGAAGGAAGCTGGATTAGAACACATGCCAAGAATTTAGAACATATGTCACAGCATCAGAGACTCAGCTCCCTGGCCCAAGGACTTCAAATGGGCAGAGGTGGAGCCCAGGGGGAGCAAGATGCTGAACTTTCTGAGACAGGCACAGGGGCCTCAGGCAGAATGCCCCTGAACAAGACTGCTGCTGTCACTGGGGGATGCTTCCCGTTAGTTGCTCATCTGACAGGCATCCAACGTGCCAGTACCTCTTGTATGGATTCAGAAAAGGTACCAAGATGGAGTCTGTGCCCTCATAGAGTTTACCCTGAATGAACCCTTACAATGAACAAACAGACAAAAGACAGTGGGAAGTGCAGGGGCAGAGTGGGCGCTGTGGTTCATGCCAGTAATTCCAGCACTTTGGGAGCCCAAGGCAGGAGGAGCACTTGAGGCCAAGAGTTCAAGACCAGCCTGGGCAACACAGCAAGACCCTGTCTCTACAAAAAATAGGAAAAAATAGTTTGGTGTGGTGGCCTGCACCCATACTCTCAGATGGGAAGCTAAGGTGGGAGAATCTCTTAAGCCAGGTGTTGGAGGCTGTAGCAAGCTCATTTGCACCACCGCACTCTAGCCTGGGTGACAGAGCAAGACCCTGTCTCTAAAAGCAATGGCACAGTGGCATAGCAATGGCTCCCCTGTCCCCTCTGCTGGGTGAGAGATGTCTATAGAGCTCCCGCTACTGCTGCCAAGTGCTATCTCTATGGTGATAGCAGGTGAAGAGGAGGAGCAGCTCAAGCTCAGCAACACAAGTACGTAAGTAAAAAACAAAGTATTTTATGAAAAAAGTCTTCAGCCAGGCACGGAGGCTCTCGCCTGTAATCCCAGGAGGCAGAGGGGGTGGATTGCCTGGAGCTCACAGGTTCCAGACCAGCCTGAGTAAGAAAGAGACTCCGTCTCTAAAAATATGGCATTATGGTGAGGGCCAGCACTTTGAGAAGCTGAAGTGAGCAGACCAAGAGTTCAAGACCAGCCTGAGCAAGAGCGAGAACCCATCTCTACTAAGAATACAAAAAAATAGCCAAGTGTCATCATGGGTGCTTGTAGTACCAGCTACTCAGGTGGCTGAGGCAAGAGAATCTCTTCAGTCCAAGAGTCTGAGGTTGCTGTGAGCTATGACAACACCACAGCACAGTACCAGGGGTGACAAAGTGAGACTCTATGTCAAAAAAAAAAAAATCTTCAATCAAGCATATTTTGATGCTTGGCATCTAGGCTCCTCTGTGCCCTCACTATGCCAGCAGCAATTGTAGATCATAGCCAAAGAATCTGTGAAGTTTGGGCTTGCAATCTGGATAAAGAGATGAAGAAAATTTATCAAGTTATTCGAAAATATAATTATGTTGCTATGGACACCAAGTTTCCAGGTGTGGTTGCAAGACCCATTGGAGAATTCAGGAGAATTGCTATCAGTACCAACGATTGCAACGTAATGTAGATTTGTTAAATAACAATTCAGCTAGGACTAACACTTATGAATGAACAAGGAGAATACGTCTAAGAACTTCAACCTGGCAATTTAATTTTAAATTTGATAAGAAAGACATGTATGCCCAGTACGCTATGGAGGACAACATCTGGTATCCAGTTTAAGAAACATGAGGAGGCCAGGTGCAGTGGCTCATGCCTGTAATCCTAGCACTCTGGGAGGCCAGGGCAGGTGGACTACTTGAGCTCATGAATTTGAGACCAGACTGAGCAGCAAGATCTTGTCTCTTATAAAAATAGAAAAACTCAGACAAGAGGATGCCTCATGCCCGAGTTGGAGGTTGCTGTGAGCTGTAACACCACAGCACTCTACTGAGAGGAACATCTTAAAACTCTGTCTCAAAAAAAAAAAAAAAAAAAAAAGCCAGGTGTTGCAGTGGTGCCTATAGCTAGTACCTATAGTCCCAGCTATTTGGGAGGCTGAGGCAAGAGAATACCTTAATACTTTGAGCCCAAGAGTTGGGGTTGCTATTAGCCACGACACTACAGCACTCTATTAGAGGGTGACAAAGTGAAACTCTGTCTCAAAAAAAAAAAAGATCAATAGAAGTGGGGCGTGGTAGTTCATACCTGTCATCCCAGCACTCTGGGAGGCTGAGGGGAGTGGATCACTCGAGCTTCGGAGATCGAGACCAACCCAAGCAAGAGTGAGAACCCCATCTCTACCAAAAATGAAAAACTGAGGCAAGAGGATCACTTCAGCCCAAGAGCTTGAGGTTGCTGTGAGCTATGATATCATAGCACTCTACGAAGGGTGACAACTTGAGACTGTCTCCAAAAAAAAAAAGATAAATGTTAATGAGGTTGAAGAAAAATCCTTTAAAAATGAATCAAATAGGGTAGTACCTGTAGCTCAGTCAGTAGGGTGCCAACCCTATATACCAGGGGTGGCAGATTCAAACCCAGCCCTGGGCCAAACTACAACAAAAAATAGCCGGGCGTTGTAGTGGGCGCCTATAGTCCCAGCTACCCAGGAGGCTGAGGCAAGAGAACTGCCTAAGCCCAAAAGTTGGAGGTTGCTGTGAGCTGTGACACCACAGCACTCTACTGAGTGCTATAAAGTAGAGACTCTGTCTAAAAAAAAAAAAAGAATCAAATAAAGATAAATGCACTTCAAGTAAGATAAATCACTTACATACAAAACTAATCTAAGTAACTTTTTTTTGGAAATTTTTTTCTAGTTTTTTTTTTTTAACCTATTCATGGGATACACAGCCTTTTTTTTTTTTTTTTTTTGAGACAGTCTCACTTTGTTACCTCAATATAGTGCTGTAGTGTCATAGCTCACAGCAACCTCAAACTCTTGGGCTCAAGTGATTCTCTTCCCTTACTCTTCCTAGTAACTGGGACTACAGGCACCCACCGTAATGCCCGGTTATTTTTAGTCAAGAGTCTTGCTCTTGCTCAAGTTGGCCTCAAACTCCTGAGCTCAGCAATCCATCCTTCTCAGCCTTCCAAATTGTGGGTGTGAGCCACTACACCCGGGCCCAGAGTGATGTTTTGATACACAGAAATGTATGGTAATCAGATCAGGTAATGATTACAATATATCCATCTTCTCAAACACTTATCATCTCTGTGTTGGAAACATTCAATATCCTGCTTCCAGCTACCTCAGACTATTATTTATTTATATATATATATATGTAATTGTTAACTATAATTATCCTGCAGTGACACAGAGTACTAGAACTTATTCCTATCATCTAGCTATAATATTATGATTCTTATAACTTTGTTTTTTAAAGCTATGTGGTCTCATTGTGTTGTCCAAGCAGGTTTCAAATGCCTGAGCTCACAAAATCCTCCTACCTCAGCTTCCAAAGCAGTTTACTCTACAGGTATTAGCTACTGCACCTAGCTACCAGACTGACTAGGTACACCTTGATATAAAAAAAAAAAAAAAAGAACTGCAGAAATGTCTTGAATTTACTTAATAGGTATGCTTTTGAATAGTACCAGTAGCAAACTTACAAGGTTAAGCAGGTAAGTAAATGTTTGCTGGGCACCAGGGTTCTCACCAGAGCTGGGAGATACACATGTAATGGGGAAGGCAAGAGAGGGCACTGTAGTGTTAGGCTGGAATTAGAGGTGTCATGATGAGTGCGTGCTCATGACACACATGTACACGCACATACATGCATGGCTCTCCAGGACTGTAACAACTATCACTAGGACCTTGGCTTCAAAACACAATTTACCATTAAGAGGCTCTAGGGGCTCGGCGCCTGTGGCTCAAGCAGCTAAGGCCCTAGGCTGGCAGGTTCGAATCCAGCCCGGGCCCTCCAAAACAACAATAATAGCTGTAACCAAAAAATAGCTGGGCGTTGTGGCGGGCGCCTGTAGTCGCAGCTACTTGGGAGGCCGAGGCAAGAGAATCACTTAAGCCCCGGAGTTGGAGATTGCTGTGAGCTATGATGCCATAGCACTATGGGTGACAGCTTAAGGCTCTGTCTCAAAAAAAAAGAAAAAAAAAAGAGGCTCCAGGACTCCCTGCAGAGACAGGAATGGGAGGGAGAATATACAAAATGAATTTGGAATATCTTGTAAAAAGGGTTCAAAAAAAAGACGACAGAGGCCAGGCACGGAGGCTCACGCCTGTAATCGTAGCACTCTGGGAGGCCAAGACCAGTGGATTGCTTGAGCTCACGGGTTCAAGAGCAGCCTGAGTGGCTTGGCACCCATAGCTCGATGGTTAGAGTGCTGGCCACATACACCAGGTTGGTGGGTTTAATCTCAGTCCAGGCCTGCTAAACGACGACAACTTCAACAACAATAAAAAATAACCAGGCGTTGCGGCGGGTGCTTACAGTCCCAGCTACTCAAGAGGATGAGACAAGCAAATCGCTTAAGCCCAAGAGTTTGAAGTTGCTGTGAGCTGTGATGCTTTGGCACTCTACCCAGGGCAATAGCTTGAGACTCTGTCAAAAAAATAAAATAAAATAAAATGAAATAAAAAATAAATGACAACGAGGACATGTGAAAAGAACAGAGAAGCCAGCTAAAAGGGGCTTTCATGGTTAAACTCTGGGACGATTTGAACATTATAACAAATAATGGCAATAATAGATTATGGGTTCAGCGCCTGTGGCTCAAGCGGCTAAGGCACCAGCCACATACTCCTGAGCTGGTAGGTTTGAATCCAGCCCAGGGCCCACCAAACAACAATGATGGCTGCAACCAAAAAATAGCCAGGTGTTGTGGCAGGCCCCTGTTGTCCCAGCTATTTGGGAGGCTAAGGTAGGAGAATCACTTGAGCCCAGGAGTCGGACGTTATTGTGAGCTATGATGCCACAGCACTCTACCCAGGGGGGCAGCTTGAGGCTCTGTCTCAAAAAAAAAAAAAAAAAAAAATATGGATTATGACCCATTAAATAACAAAAAGCCATGTATCTACATGGATATCAAATAAATATAGACAGACATAAAGAAGAGAAAGCTCCATCTCACAAAAGAATGTTAACTAATAAATATAGAAGGTAAAATAAAACTTAGGAAATCAGCATTCTTTAATTATCACAGTAATAATTTATTCAGGCAAGAATTATCACTAAATTGGGTAGAAGACTGATAAGAAATAGTTATCTATATATTCAAAGACTCTCAACACAGATTATTTGTTGATTACAAAGGGAAAAATTACATCTCTACAGTGGCGAGATCTGGCAGACACCACCTGAACCAAACAGAGTTCAGGTCACCAATAATGGGCAAAGTGGCATCACAAGCCTCTTGGTGTGAGGCACAAAGAGGTCATGGGGCAGGGCCCAGTGGCTCACGTTTGTAATCCCAGCAAGGTGGAGGCCGAGGTGGGTGGATTGCCTGAGCTCACAGGTTTGAGACCAGCCTGAGCATATGCTGGATAGATCCCATCTCTAATAAACAGCTGAGTGTTGTGGGGGCGGGCGCTTATAGTCCCAGTTACTCAGGAGGCTGAGACAAGAGAATCACTTAAGCCTGAGAGTTTCAGGTTGCCGTGAGCTATGACGCCATGGCACACTACCAAGGGCAACAAAGTGAGACTGTCTAAAGAAATAAACAAACATTGGCTCAGCACCTGTAGCTCAGCGGCTAGGGCACCAGTCACATACACCAGAGCTGGTGGGTTTGAACCCAGCCTGAGCCTGTCAAACAACAATGACAACTGCAACAACAACAAAAAAATAGCTGAGGGTTGTGGCAGACACCTGAAGTACTGGCTGCTTGGGAGTCTGAGGCAAGAGAATCACTTAAGCCCAAAAGTTTGAGGTTGCTGTGAGCTATGACGCTACAGCGCTCTACCCAGGGCTACAGCTTAAGGCTCTGTCTCAAAATAAATAAATAAATAAATAATAAAATAAAATGAAAGAAAGAAAGAAAGAAAGAGAAAGAAAAAAATTATAGGCCCCTTTTGTGAGGTTTTCTGGGAAGACCACATAAACTGATATTGAGACATCTTCGGATACACAGGCAGGAACAGACTGAAAGTAAAAAGATTAAAAAAAAAAAAAAGGCTTGGCACACATAACATAGTGGTTACAGCGCTGGCCACAAGCACCAAGGGTGGCGAGTTTGAACTCTGCCCAGCCAGGGCCAGCTAAACAACAATGACAACTGCAACAACAACAACAACAACAAACAGCCGGTATAGTGGCTGGCGCCTGTAGTCCCAGCTACTTGGGAGGCTGAGGCAAGAGAATTGCTTAAGCCCAAGAGTTTGGCTCGGCGCCTGTGGCTCAAGCGGCTAAGGCGCCAGCCACATACACCTGAGCTGGCAGGTTCTAATCCAGCCTGGGCTGTCAAACAACAAT